TGTATGAAGCTACTAAAAGAATTTAAACCCCCAGCTAAACCATATTCCTGTAGCTAAGATGCTGTACTGGGATGTCACTGAGCTCTAGTCCTCTCAAACATTCTTTGTTATGCAGTTTATGAAATGTCTGGCCAAAGACTTATTAGGACAAAAAAGCAGATGAAATCATGTGAAGGATAGGGGGTAGTTGGGACAGAGATCTGAGGGTGAGCTATTTAGGCCAAGCTGCTGCACCTTCTTAGAAACTTAATCTAGTCTTAAAGCAGCCTGGCCTGGCAGAAGCTAAAAGGGAATGGAAAGATTAAGGCCAGGGCCATCTCCCTTTTTTAGCTTTCACCCCTAGAGTACACCACCCTTCCATCAGCCAAGGAGCCAGAGACAAGTTTGTGTTCTATTGGCCCCTCTGACTTCCTACAGCTCCATCCTGCCCCTCTTGCGGAGCTGGGTTGATATGAAATGGTAACAGAAAATTAGATGTTTCACTGCTATGGATGAAAGCGGTGAGGTCTACGCAAACCACGAAAGGATGCCTGCTGGGTTATTCACTGCGCCCTGAACCAGAAAAAGGAGCTACCGGCTCACCTTCCAGCTCCCTTTCACAGCAAAGTTAAGAGAAACACCCACAGAAAACCCAGGTAGATGTAAATTCTACTTCTCCACTTTCAGTCAGTTGCAGACTTCCCCTCGCAGCCTCCCATTCCTCCTCCTTTGACTCCTCCGGGGTTGCTGCTGATCCATCTCCAGCCTGGCACGCAGGTGAAGGCAAAACATCAGGCTGCCAGGTCTGCACTTTCTGTTCCTTCCCTGTGCGGAGGACAAAATAAGTATTCCTGAAGTGCAAGGAGTGCCACCTAATGGCTTGATGAAGAACTCCAGAGCTCCACACAGCCTGGTGTTCTGGTACTTCTTTCCATATACATAAGTATATGAACACATGCACAGTGTATTTTCACACACATACTGAACTGCAAGTCTCTCCCACAGCCTGTCTACCCATAAGCTACACTTTAAGGGTAACATAATGTAGAGTCTTTACGTTCATATGCAAACAACAGTTTCTTTAAGCTCAAAACAGCTGTAATAATCCAGATGTAAACTGAGTATTTAAATTCGGAGTGTAAACTTCATGAATGCTGTCTAGCAGGTAAGAAGCAGCTGCTGGAGAGCAGCTCTTTCACTGCTATCATTTCTGTGTCAGGCAGCAACAACCATATCCTCACAGGTAAATGCAGGTCAGGTGTAACCTCAGGAGGTCACCCTGTCCACCTGGTAGCAGCCTGTCAATTGGAAGTGGCCAAATGCGACAGCTGATGCACGGACACTGTGTGTTCAAGGATGACTGTCTCCAGCAGCGATGAAGCAAACAGCTGTGGCGGCAGCTTCTTCATACGCTCCAGCCAGAGCAGCAGTAAGGTGGTAGGTACCACAGCCTGTTCCAAATGAACAACACTTAGTTCTCTTGAAAATACTCCTGGAAAGTAACCCCCAGAAATGTTATCTGAATCACACTGAGCAATTCCAGTAGATCACCACAGAACGAGACTGCTTTTGCCTTTGGCTTGCAGAACCATTTGTTGATCTCTCCCATACCTGATTTGTCTCGAAAGTCAAGTATATTAACTTGTTTCTCAGATTTCCAGTCAGGCAACTTAATTTGCAGTTCAGTGGAGCACGTTTGTTCAAGATTCCTTACTCTCACCAGTTTCTGTTGATAGAGACAGTTTTGAAAACATCTATTTTAGGACATCTGTGTATCTGAGGCAAGACTTGCCTATAGCTTAAGCTCCTCCCCCCCACCAGGCTATACTGTTCACTAAATTCTACACGTCAGTTCCCACATTTGTTTTGTTTGTTGTTCAAATGAACACCGTTGATGTAAAAGATGACATAAGGAAAAAAAAAATCATTTAGCCATACCCACAATCCTCCCTTCTCCTTTACTGTTATCAGCTGCAGTGGGAAAGACAAACCAGGAAACTGATGAGAACAATACTCATACAAGGGAAATACTGCTCAAAAAATGCTTCATGATGTGAGAGACTATTAAAGATGTGAATTCAGTCCTCATCTTAAAAACATGATGGTACAAATACCTTCTGAGTAGTAACTGTCCTTGTAAACATCAAGTTCTACTGGATACACTGACAGATGCTGCAGTTTAAGAAGAAAGTATGGAAAATTAATAGAACCTTTTTTTTGGAAAAGACCTCCAAGACCATTGAGTCCAACCATAACCTGTCCACTACTAAACCATGTCTTTAAGCACTTCATCTACCCATCTTTTAAAAACCTCCAGCAATGGTGACTCAACCACTTCCCTGGGCAGCCTGTTCCAATGCCTGTTAACCCTTTCAGTGAATAAATCCATCCTAATATCCAATCTAACCCTCCCCGTGCACAACTTCAGGCCATTTCCTCTCATCCTGTTGCTTGTTACTTGGAAGAAGAGACCGTCCCCACCTTGCTACAAACTCCTTTCAGGCAGTTGTAGAGGGTGATAAAGTCTCCTCTCAGCCTCCTCCAGGCTAAACAACCCCAGTTCCCTCAGACGCTCCTCTTAAGGCTTGGGCTCTAAACCCTTCACCAGCTTTGTTACTCTTCTCTGGATAAGCTCCAGAACCTTAATGTCCTTCTTGTAGTGAGGGGCCCAAAACTGATCAAAGTACTTGAAGTGCATCCTCACCACTGCCGAGTGCAGGGGCACAATCACTTCCCTGGTCCTGCTGGTCATACAATTTCTGGTACAACCCGGGATGCTGTTGGCCTTCTTGGCCACCTGGGCACATTTCTGGCTTGTGTTCAGTCAGCTAGAGACCACCATCCCCTGGTCCTTTTCTGCCTGGCAGCTTTCTAGCCACTCGTCCCCAAGCCTGTAACATTGCACGGGGGTTTTGTGACCCAAGTGCAGGATGTGGCACTTGGCTTTGTTGAAGCTCATACAATTGGCCGTGGCCCATCGATCCAGCCAATCCAGGTCCCTCTGCAGAGCTTTTCTATTCTGAAGCAGATCAACACTCCCGACCAATGCAGTGCTGTCTGTAAACTTACTGAGGGTACAACTCAATCCCCTCATAATTAACATGTCAAGTTTTAGAATCAGTATTTGTAAAATTTTTCACAGAAATGTAATTAAAGTGAAATTGTACTAAAAATATGGAGAAGGCAGAGTTTGATGCAGTCTATATTCACCAACACCTGTTTTATAGGAAAATTTAAGAAGGAAAACTGTTAATATGGAAAGCATCTATTATATTATTATCTGTTATGAGATGTACAGGTGAGGCCCACTGGTGACTAATGCATTATGTCCACAACTGCCACGTGAAACCCAGGCTTCATAAAAATCTAAACTTCAATACCAATTTATTCAAAATATGCAAGAACAATGCAATTTACATTAAGAGTCTGTAGCATCAGTATTTTAAAACATATATATTTAAAAAAAAAATCATTTGCAAAAAATTCCATTGCACATCAGTTTATTCCCCAATTTGAAAAGGGAGCAGCAAGTAATTGGTTATATAAAGGCAAACATATGTGCATCCGAGGCTAATATAGCCATTTAAAGTTGTAGCAACAATACAGGAAACGGCATAGTTTGGGGGGGGGGAGGTTTTAGGGGGGGGGTTTTTGGTTTTTTTTTTGGGTTTTTTTGTTTGTTTGTTTTTTTTGTTTTTTATAAACCAAAAATATTTAGAATCAGTTTTACAAGTAAGGAATCAAGCTGTTAACTGCTTAACCAGTTAAATTCTTTCAGTGCAGCAAGAGAACTGTTAATATTTCAGAAAGTTTATACAGAAACTGCATCTGTTCAGCATTCGTAACTTTTCACTGCACAACGGTTTTAGTACTTTAGCCTGAGTTGTCGAACACCAACCACCAAGCTGGCTGGCTTCCAGAAGAAGCAAAACAGAGACTTTTCAGCCAATGTCAATTTAATGCCATTTTGGCCTGTAAAGGACTGGAAGTTTAACTGAAAACTGAAAAGTCATGAAGGCTTTTACAATACAGCCAGGAACAGTCTTTATCAGTATTGCTACCAATAGTCCTCACTTTTACTTACTCATATCAGCACATCGGGGTCAGTTACTCATGCACATAATACTCATGTCCTAAAAACTAGTGAACTTTCAATGGAGTCTGTGCTAACCATCAGAAGAGGGTGCAGAGTCCAGCTGGGATCCTGGACCAGAAGACACATAAGAAAGATGTCCATTAGCTTCAGTTTGACCACTCCAACTTTTAACAGTGTAGCTAACTTCTAAATCCTTTTGGAAAACAAGCTCCTCAAAATTACTATTTTTTTTAATTGAGCCCTTAAGCATAGGGCCTTCTCCTCATCTACCAAGTATCTTGTCCTTGATTTCCTAGCACCTTCATCACGGTTTTGGATTTTCTCTTTTCCTGCTACAATCCACCCATTAAACCTAAATGGATGCTGTGCTAAGGTTTTGATGCCCATGCCTCTTCCATCTTTGACAAAAGCCTGTATCTGAGATTTTCACGCTCATAATTGTGGTTTACATAAAATATTTACTACTCTAAGAATACCAACCACTTAATTACATTGCAGTAAGGAGAAAAATTCTTATCTATTACAGGTGGTTAACTTTAAGAATGGTCAAAAACACTAAAAAATTCAACATAAAAGGGTCTTAAGAACAAAGTTTAGCAGGATTAAAAATGTCTTCATTTCAGACACTGCCTTGAAAACATGCAGCTCAGCAAGTATCCATCTTCTGTTACCCACGTCCTGCAGCAAGAAGGTTGGCACAAACATCCACCTACTAAAACCCAAGTGTTTGATCCTTTGGAACACGAGTAGCAGCCAGTGCTGACGTGCAGCTCCACAGAACATGTTGTTCAGCAGCAGCTTAAATTCCAGTTCAGAACAGGCACACAGGGGAGTAACCACAGTTAAGCAAACCCTGAGCAAAGTAATTTTCAAGCAATGTTTTCAAGCCCTGGTTTATCTTCCTGAAACAGCTATCCCAAAGGCTTTAGGCAAGACAAGAATCAAGGTGTTCATTTATTTTAGACTCCAAAACCTCACTCTGGCAAACGGGACAACTGACTTTTTTATCCTGCCTTACAGCAGTGCTGGAACTTGCAGAAGACACTGAAGATTCAGCTTTGGTTTCCATAGGTGTATTTATACTTAAAGTGACATCAGTACTCCCTTTTTTAATGAAATAATTTTCAAAGGCAGTTCTGTCTTCCATTTCTGACCACTGCTGCAGTGTGTTAGTACCCTCTGAGCTTTTTTTCTCAGATGCAACCTGAACTGTTGATGTCTGCTCTAAACAAATTTGTTTCAGTGTCCTGTTATAAGGCGGCATAACCCTCTTGCCATTTGCAGAAACTTTATTTGATTTTTCATCCATAACACGAGCAATTTTAACAGGAGATCCACTAACATTCTTGTAAGCTTTTGTATTAGCAACAGAGAGTTTAGGAAACTCATGCTTTGAAGCTAAGTTGATTTTCTCACTGGCATCATCAGTATAAAGTGGAAAGAAGATGCCACTACGGGGTGATTTCTCAAATTTTATCTCATTTTTAGGGAGTGGTATTGTCCTTACTGCTGAGCGATGCTGTGAACCAGGTGTTTCACTGTTTCTAATACTGCTGCTGAAATTTGTGCTTTTTTCTGGGAGTCCACTCTCTCCTCCGAGCCGATACCCCTTTCCACTGAAAGGTATCAGGTCTTGCCTATCATGTGTTTGTGTCTTGCCTGCAAAATAAGAAGAAAATATGAAAAGTTAATAACTTTTTCAAATATAAATAATGAGCTTAGTATCTTATGTGCTTCACCCAAAAAATTTGCTGCTTGAAAGGAGTGCAACAAACGAAGCCTTTTGTAAACAATTGAGAAGGAGCCCAGAAATGAACAAATAAAATGGGACCTGTTCTTTGCTACATAACAGCAGTATCTAAAATAAGCTCATGTAGTGGTTGATCTGTATTTGCTCAAGGAACAGTTTAGACAAAAAGCTTGAGAAAAAAAAAAAAGTTTAAATACCTTTGTTAATTAACTTGGAATTTGGAAGTTGTTTTGCTGCCTGCGTCTTCTCCTTGGATTTCTTAGAGAAGTTCTCAGGCTCCTTCACTTTTGTGAATGTTCCTCCACATGTCTCTTGGTGCTCAGCCCACCAAAAGTCTCGTGCAGAAGGTGCTCGATTCATCGAACGTTTCACGTATCCAAAGTAAGGTTTTCTATTTTGACAGGGGCCATTGCAGCGCCACCAGTGCTGGCGGTACGAATCCACTTCATCATGAAAAGTATGATAGATCTAGGTTTAAAAAACAAGCAAAAAACCTCAAAAACATGCAGTCATTCAGAAAGTTACTCATCTTGTATCACTTGCTCTACCCTATTTTTAAAAAATAAATTACCATGTAATTCCTTCGACTACTGCTGTGATTTTTACATTACTAGTTAAGAGAGATATAACCTGGGTAAAACTTAATGAACATTTAGATACCATTAAAACAAACAAACAAAAAATAGGATGTGGAGGAACATGTCCTGGCTATCTTGTTTGAACTGCAATAGAAAACTTTGAAAATCTATCCACAATTTCATCCTAAATGACATACTGTTTAGAATGCGCTGCAAACAACACCAGTATTGTATTCTCCTTCTGGCTATTAAGATATCTTATCAGACACATGATTTTTAAATATCATCAACCCATTAGCCTTTACTGAGATAAATCTTAACTAAAACAGATTGCTCTTCCCTAAGTATCATTCTGAACATGGAGCTATTCTGTCTCTGGTATCATTAACTTGTTTCAAGTTCAAAAGTTTAAAGAAAAATAATAGCAGAAGGCATACTTGAAAACGATAAAACTAAACTAACAACTCACCACGTCTTCCTCAACCTGTTCCCACTACCATTCCCAACAAACTAACTATGGAACTGCACAAGCTTGGATGCAAGTCTGTATTGGTGCCAACCGTGGAGTGGCTAACAAGAACAAGTATATTACTCATACTACACTAGGCACAGTGGAAACGTCAAATCAGGAAAAAGCCCTCTATTAAATTAGGTTAAGTGAATTATGCTTACTGTGACATTGGCCCCAGTCAAGCGATTAATGCGACGCATGTGTTTGCAGAACTCTGGTCCATGAGATTCACGGTCTTTGTCATTATTAGTAACAAAAAGCAGGGCATGGATCATTTCATGCAGCAGTGTCTGAAATTATGCAAATTGTAAATAGCTATTTACTGAAAAGCAGTACACACAGTTTCAAAACTAAGCTGGAAGTATTTTCTTCCTTTATATTTATCTTGGTTCTGATCTTATTTTCATGCATTCACAAAAACATAATACTTGTTCCACCTGTCAAATCAAATGATCTCTACTCCCATACCATCAAAACATGCTGGAGAATATTACTATAGTAAATGAGATTCCAAAAAGAGAAATAATCCTCAAACTTAAGTCAGATCTTTGGTTGCATCATCTCTGCAACCAAAGAGAAACTCGTGAGAAGGTTGAAACTCTACTGCATTTCTGTTCATTAAGCAAATCTGAATGTTGAGCCAACCCAAACAAGCAGCCCTGACAGAGGCATAAGAAGCAACACAAAGTTATGTTTACAGTCTTAGCCTATATCCTTATTTTATGCTGTCGGCCTTTTGACCTAAAAGATGGAACTACAGCTATTTTCTGATTGCGCTTTCAGTCCATGTTTGTTTCTAACATTAGAGGATAATTTCAAGTACTAAAAAAGGTGGGGTTTTTTCCCTTTATAAAGTGAGTAAACTAAACAAATGACTTTAGATACTCATGAGTTGCCCATTTAGAAACATAAAACTGAAAGATTACCATGATGTTACCCACATAAACAACACAAATGCAGCAATAAAGCCACGGCTATTTTACAATCTACAAGTCACTGTATACAAGAATTCTACTAATAAATGTAAAGTGTGTGTACGGGCTTGGAGGGAGGTACAATACATTTTATGTGCAGATTCATAAGCAATCTTCCAATACCTCAACAAGATCCTTCCTTGGTCTTAACTTTAGGAGTGGCTCACTTAGACGTATGGAACACATTCCACCTTTTCCTTCATATCTACACACTCCAGCACAGCTGAAAGAGACACAGAAAGAAAAGATGAAAAGCTACTTGTTTCTGTAGTATGTGAAGAAAACTGAGAATCAGAGTTAAAATGCCAGCCCCTTCCACCACATGCTAAGTAAGTCAGAACATGAAAAAACACTTTTAATAGTTACTTGAAAAACTCAGTATCAAAGCAAGAAGGGGAAAAAAAAGCCCACAAGTTCTCTGAATAAACTGTGACTAAACTAGCAAAAGTGAAACTTTAACTTATTAGATCTCTTGCAACCGTTTCAAGCTAACCCATTCAGGAGGCAAAAGACTGTTTTCATTAGAACTCCTGATGGAGTGAAATACATAAAACAGAGGCTGGAGAGTCACAACAGCCAACACCAACTTAACTGCTGGTTGCTGCAATTTCACCCCTTACCCTCCCCCAGCTTTGGACTCTTACTGAACCTTTACATCATCCTCACTAACTCAGTAATCAAGCAGAAAACACTTCATTTTTTTTTTCTGTTACTGAGTTAGTCCTCTACCAGTTCAGCATCCAAATATTTTCCAGTGTCTAAAGAGATCTGCAACCAGCAAAAGACATGAGGGGGCAGAACTTCAGCTGCCAACCATTGCATCAGCTAAACTGCTGCAGAACTGCAACCTATACTACACAAAGTTGTTTGTTTTCTTTTCATTAATCTTAAATTTCTTGTATATTCCCTTCTGACTCTATTTTATAAAATCTTGTTAATAAACTACTATAATTTCATATTTGCCTTTCTGCCATGCTGTAAAACTATCATAAAAACTGAGAACAAGAAAAATGACAGCAGTACGTTTGTCAAAGTTTTGACATACACACTTTGAGACCACGTTATTTATTCCACTTCAACATCCCTCCAGTTTTGCCTGCATCACGGGAAAAGCCATTTATGGCTACCAAAGGCGACATATTAAGGACAAAACAGACAGTCATCAACCCACATCCCGAGGTACAAACCATGTTAGAAAAGCAGGACACACAAATACCCAGAAAATCTATATACCGACTTCCTCCCCCAAATTCCCGCTTATGTCCAGCCCCATCGCCACTGCCTCCCCAGGCAGGGCTGTCCTCCGAGCCCCCCCCCATCCCCCACGATGCCGTACAGGGTCATGCGTGGGCTCCACGACACCTCCACAGCCGCCAGGCGCCCCCAGAAGAGCGCCTGGTTGAACTGCACGAAGAGGCCGTGCACATCGGGGCTGGGGTCCAGCAGCTCCCAGGACTCATCCACAACCGACAGCGGGCGGAGGGGTGAAG